AAATCCTTCAAAAAGTGGAAAGGAATATTTGTCAAAATAATACTCAAGGGATTTGATTCCAGATAAGAACCAGTAGAGTAAGAAACACCAAAAACTGACATATTACGTAAAATATTCTAAAAGGCTCAGAATAGAGTATGTTTGACTCCCGGAAGGACATTCTATGCAATGGAGAAATTTTGTGGTTATAAATTATTTTATTCAAATGTGCATAGTTATAACTACTGTAAAATTGTATAAGACAGATGGACATGATGATGTACACCTGTAATCCCAGTGAGTTAGGAGGCTGAGGCAGGAGGATCGCAAGTTTGAACCCAGTCTCAGCAACTTAGCAAGACCCTGTCCCCAAAATAAATAAATAAACAAACAAATAAGGAATGTAGCTGTATCCCTGGGTTCAATCTGAAGTATCAAAAAAAAAAAAAACAAAAATCAATATAAGACATGTAAGAATTAAATAGAACAGGTGCTTTAAAGACAATCATAAATATCATTAGAGCATGATGGTAGTAGTAAGAAGATGAGACAAACCTTAAATTATATATAAGATTCGTGTAACTTCAGGGATTCGTGATTTTTTTTCTTCATTTTTTTCCCCAGATTTTGGGGCAGGTACCAGGGATTGAACTCAGGAGCCCTCGAACCCTGAGCCACATCCCCAGCCCTATTTTGTATTTTATTTAGAGGCAGGGTCTCACTGGGTTGCTTAGCGCTTCACTTTTGCTGAGGCTGGCTTTGAACTCGCAAACCTCCTGCCTCAGCCTCCCAAGTGGCTGGGATTACAGGAGTGCGCCGCTGTGCCCGGCCCTGTTTTCTACATTTTTATTGGAGCTTTAAAGTTGTACATATTAATGAGATTTGTTATTACATATTCATACATGCACAAAATATAACAATAAAATTTGACCAATATCACTCCCCAGCACTTCTCCCCTACCTCCCTGTCTCCCACTCCTTGTTCCTTTTCCTTTACTGATTTTTAGGAGATCCACCTCACCTTTCTTTCCTTTTCCTCTTCAACTTCCACATAGGAGAGAAAACATATGACGATTGACCTTCTCATTTTGACTTATTTTACTTAACATGATGGTCTCTAGTTCCATTCACTTTCCTGCAAATATCATAATTGCCTTTTTCTTTGTGGCTAAATAAAACTCCATTGTGTATATATGCCACATTTTCTTTATCCATTCATCCACTGGTGAACATTTAGCCTGGTTCCATAGTTTGGCTACTGTGAATTGTGCTGCTATGAATATGGGTATACATGTCTCACTGTAATAAGGTGACTTATGATTCTTTAGGTTAAATGCCAAAAAATGGTATGGCTGAGTCATATGATGGTTCCACATCTAATCTATTGAAGAGTCTCCATAATAATTTTCATTGTGGTTTTACTAATTTATAGTTCCACCAACAATGTGAAAGTGTCCCTTTTTCTCTATATCCTCTCTAGCATTTATTATTATTTGTATTCTTGATGACTGCTATTCTGACTGGTGTGAGATGAAATCTCAGTGTAGTTTTGAGTTTCGTTTCCCTAATTACTAATGATATTGAACATTTTTTCTAGGTATTTGTTGGCAATTTGTTTTTCTTCTTTTAAGAAGTGTTTGTTTCATTTACTTGCCCATTTATTAATTGGGTTATTTGATTGTGTGTGTGTGGGTGTTAAGTTTTTTGAGCTTTTTATGTATGGTAGCTATTAATCCTCTGTTAGAAAAGTAGCTGGCAAAGATTCTCTCCCATTCTGTGGGTTCTCTCTTCACATTCCCAATTGTTTCCTTTGCTGTAAAGAAGGTTTTTAATTTGACACTGTCTCATTTATTAACTCCTGGCATTATTTTTAATTTGACACTATTTATTAACTCCTGGCATTATTTCCTGAGCTTTAAGGATCTTATTGAGAAAGTTGTTGCCTGTGCCTGAGTTGCTTAGCGCCTCGCTTTTGTTTGCCCGTGCCTAAAAGGAGCATTGAATCCATATTTTCTTTAAGGAGTTGCAGAGTTTCTAGTCTAATTCCAAGGTCTTTGATCCATTTTGAGTTGATTTTTGTGCAATGTGAGAGATGAGAACCTAGTTTCATTCTTCTATATGTCAATAACTAATTGTCCCAGTGCTCTGACTAGAATTTCTAGTACTATATTAAATAAGAGTGGTGAGAGTGGACTTCCTTTCAATTTTTCCCCGTTTCCTATGAGATCAGCTTTGGGTTTCTCATATAGAGCCTTTATGATGTTAAGGTATATTCCTTGTATCTGTAGTTTCTTCAGGGGTTTTATCATGAATGAATGTTGAACTTTGTCAAAGGCCTTCTGTGTATCTATTGAGATTACTAAACAGGTACTGAGATTTCTAAAGAGATATTGAGGTACTGGTGTAAAAACAGACATACAAAACAGAAGAGAAGACACAGAGACAAATACACCCAGATAGTCATCTAATCCAACAACATACATTGGAGAAAAGAGAGCCTTTTTAACAAATGGTGCTGGGACAACTGGATGTCCGTATATAGAAGAATGAAACTAGATTCTCATCTCCCAGTCTATACAAAAATCAACTCAAAATGGATCAAAGATTTCCCCCCCTTAATTCTGTTATTCTATTAATTCTGTAAGGAATTATATCAATTTTTCTTTTGTATTTTCCAAGAGTTGTTTTGTGACCTAAAATATGATGTATTTTGGACAAGTTTCCATGAACCACTGAGAAAAAAGTGTATTCAGCTATTGTTGGATGAAATATTCTATAGATATCTGTTAGGTCCATTTCATTTATAATATTTTTCAGGTCCAATAAGTCTTTACTGAGTTTATGTCTTGATGAACTATCTATTTGTGACAAATGTGTCTTCATTTGTATTATTGTACTGGGGTCTATCTGGGGCTGTCTATGCCCACTGTTTTTCTTTCCATTTCTTCTTGGGTTATATACTGAGAGCAAGAGTAAGGGTTGAGGGTTGTTAATCCCTTCCTGATTTTGTATTACTCACAAAGCTGCCAGTAGGAGTGGCCTAAGACTAAAGACAGCTCAAATAATTCTCAGCTTCTTTTCTTCCCAATATGAGGTAGGGTGGGCTAGAAAGTACCATCAGTTGGAGTTTTGTCTGCACAGACCAGTTGGAGTTTTGTCTGCACAGATCAGATCCATGCACTCTAAGGGTGGGGCACTGCAGAGTTTATTAGTGGAATTCCAGCAGGTGGGGCTTAGGTTTAATCAGGCCTCAGGAGCTTTGTTGGGTGGTGTCTGCTCTAAGAAGATTGGATCAACATAACTCTAGGATCTGGCAGTTGCCACCCAGGGATTCTACTCATGGGGCAGGACAGCCAATCCTTCACTCCTTCTGCTGCCCATGAACACAGCTTTTTTAGAGTTCCCAGGCTTAGTCCCTGTATTCAAAGTACCTGTTCAGACTCCTGACCTGCTTCAGAGGGTCACATGAGCCACCTTTCTCAAAAGGGGAAGTGAGTTGGGCTCCCCTTTGCTTTTCTGACTTGAATTCACCTGGGTAAAATATTCACTGTGCCTGTTTTGCTAGGTATATGTTCTGCTAGGTACACCCTAGACTACAAGGAAGGTGCGCTCCAGGACAGTGTAGTCGCAGATCTCCTGGCTCCTTAGCAGCAGCTGTAGTATGGCCACCCCAAGTTCTCCACCTCAGTTCTCTGTGGCCAGTTGCAAAAGAGAGGACACTTTTCAGTATAGCCTCTGGATCAGCCAAAGGCAGGCTGCTTTTCTTACCTCAGGTTTCTGTACTAATCTTGTCTGATTTCTCCATGTTTCGCCTCCCTCTGCTGAACCAGCGATGCTATTGACACTGCCACAACCAGCTGAACTGCAATGTAGTCTTTCTTTTTTGTTTAATGTGCCCAAATTTCTGAGTCTCTAAGATACTCTGACTGTCCAATATTGAGCGTTAGTGAAATTCTCTTCCATCCACCTTGCAAAGAAACAGTACTCTCCTGCCTGAATCCCAAGCCATAGAGCAAGTAGGAACGCAGCCTTCCTCTAGCCCGTGGGTTATTCATAACTTTAATGATAGTAAGCAGCCTTTGTGTATTTCCTATATATCATCATGATAGCTAAATGATTTTCTTGGGGCATCTCATCAAGCCCTAACTTGACAGAGTTGTAACCCAATCTCATTTTACCATGTAGGAAACTGAAACCTAGGGATGTTAGGTTACTTGTCAACCTGAGAGCAGTTGGTCTCATTTAAACTCGTATGGTCCAGCTCCAGAATCCAGGCTCTTGATCACTGTGTCATGCTTTTTCTATGGACAAAACTTGCTCTTTATCATCAAGAAAAAAAGTAGATCTCTAAAATGCTGAGGGAAGTGAAATGGCCAAGGAAGATCAATGAAAGTTTTTGATAATCTTCAAACTGAAACACCTTTAAACATTCTGACCTCACCTGGGTTCCTTTGGTTTGGCTCAAGCTCTTGGCATTCTCCATCCACTTTTGAAACTGAGATTCCCAGTTCCCGTTGGTCCTCATTGGTGGGGGTCTGCCAGTCCAGACATGTAGACTTTAAAATCATGTTCAACTCATTACATCATCTGAGCTGTTTTGTTACTAGTGTACACAGCCACTTCAGAAATTTCTAGAATACTCTGAAATGAAACACTAAATGCCAATCATGGTTTTCAACTCTTAGAGACCTGCTGTGTATTGTTCTGGCCTCAAGTAAGACTTCAAAAGTATGGTCACCCTGGCTTACATTTTCTCTGGAAACTCAGAAAATACAGAATCAAAGCCATTTTAAGATGCATGACCTTTTCTTTCCTCCTCAGCTTTTTCTGCTCCTGACTGATAAGAAGAAAGAATCCTACAGGCCTATATGCCAGGGTGTAAGAATAGAAAGAAATGGAAATCAGTAAACTACAACAGGGTGCCTAATTGCTCTATCTTGCCACCCACATCAAACTTCCTTCAAGTTTTCAAGCACAGTTTACAAATAAGTAAGCCAAGGCACTTCAAAAGAATCACAGTATAAACATACAAGTGATTTTTTTTATTTTAAAACACATTATGAAACAATAAGTAGCATCATGATATAGGATGTATTTCATTAGTCTTTGCTTTTAAAAGCTTTCAACAACAAGTCTGCTGCTAGTCCTGGGGACAAGGCCCCACTGAGAACCTTTCTTTCAAGAAGGGGAATCTGTTCTTGGACAGTAGGATGGGTCCTGAAATGCTCTAACACATTTTCCTGAATGAGATTCCACATCCAAACTTTCTGCTGCTTCCGTCTTTTGGCAGTCAGCTCCCCACTGGCAAGCATCAGGTCCCGGAATTCTTTCATTTTATCCCACATTTCTGTGATCCCCTCCCCACTTCTGGCAGAAATACGAATCACCTATTGGAAAGGAAGAACCAGAACTGCTTTACTTAAAATGACAAGAAAATATTTTCACTGGGACTCTGATATTTATCAATTAATTTTTCAGTTTATGGAAATAGGCAAGTGACAAAAATGAATGTTGTGTCAAAGTAAATATTCTGATATATATACTAGTGTAATGAATCTAGGATTACTAAGGGCATTGTAGAAATAAGACACTAATTAAAGGTCAAATTCTTTAGCCCAGAAATTTATTTTAATTTGGGATTGTTCAGATAGATGGTCAGGGGCATCCTGGAGAACTGACAAGAGAGTCACAAATGAGAAAGGCAATACCAGGGAGGTTTCCCTGAGGCCTGAGTTTCAGGAAATAAAGCCAAGTTCCAGTCTATGTCAAATCCACCTGACTCAGCAAGGCTAAGAGCTAAGCACTTGGCACCTGCACGTACAAGGTGGCTCTGGACTCAACGTAATGTGACCAGGGAAAACGGGAGCTGACAGTAAGATAAGTCATCGTCCTCATTAGAAGGACTACAGCTTATTCTTTAATAACACAGCATCCTCCTGCTGATAAAGCTGTCGGAATCAATAATATTGCACTACTTACTACAGAATTTTTCTTTGCTTCTTTTCACTTACTAAAAACAGCTTCCAATAAACATAATGGGAATGGAAGTATCACATCACAAGCCTCTTCTCTTGTACTCAAATTCCAATTTAGATAATCAAATCCTTAATTGTTCCATAATCTAAAGGATAGCTCCTTTCAGGATGGATTTGCTCTCACTTCCAAGTGGTTCAAGTCAAGCATTAAGCAATCTAATCTATCACCCCCATTCTAGTTTTTGACATTCAGTGGTTGAAAGATTATATTTAAAATCATGACTACATACTCCGGCTTTGTCATATTTTTAAAACTGTAATCTTCACATTCAAGCACAGATTGATTATATGTCTAGCTGGAACTTATGTCCTCTCTTCTAATGTACACAGTCCACTCAGGGTGAAAAATGTAGAATGAAATGCAAACTAACCTTTGGTCTCCAAGCTTCTGAGCGCTTGCGGAGCAATTTCAGTGCACTCACATACTCTGCTTGTATCCTTCGAGCTGGCACAATCAAGTCTCCGTCAGATTTAGTTATAGCTACCAGATCTGCCATCTCAATTATACCCCTTTTGATACCCTAGTGTATCAAAAGGAAGAAGAATCAGATTTTTCAGAACAGTTCATTGAATCACAAGTAGCGTAAAAATAGGACAACCAGTTAATACTGTGATTTTGAAAGTCACATGCTTCATTAACTTTTTTCCTGTATTTCTCTAATCCCTGGATGCCAGGAATCACAATTACTTGATAAAAATTACTTAAATCCACCAGTTCATGGGATTACAGAAGTTATCTGTAACATCTCTTCCCAACTTACAGAGTAGTTTAGTAGGATACATTCAGAATTAGAGTAAATAGATCAAAGACACAACATGATTGAGTGGCAGGAGACAATTCACCCAGTCTCATGATGGATTCTGCTTCTCATGAGCAGGATACAAAACCATCCATCCTAAGAACGCTTAAAAAGAAAACACATTTCACTAACATCTGCATTTCTCAAAACAATGTCTTCAAAAGTTTTTTAAATGCTTCTAGCATTTTTTTTTAATTTGCAAATAAGAAAAAATAACCTGAGAGCTAAAACTGTCCTACCTCTTGACTTAAATTGTGTTGCATAAAAATACCAGAAATAAAGGACAAAATTCAAGGACCAATCTCATTTGGGAAATACATCTTTCCATTTAAGATTAAAATTCCTTTTCAGGGGCTGTGGCTGTAGCTCAGTGGTAGAGCACTTGCCTACCATGTATAAGGCTCTGGGTTGAATCCTCACCACCAGATAAAAATAAATAAAGGTATAAAAATACATAACATTAAAAAATTCCCCTTTCAAATACTTTTATTACTTTTAATTATTAAATTCTAATAGTTAATGTTTCTACATCACAGCATATAGTCTGCTATTGCTTTTTTTTTTTAGAATTATGTAATTGAAAAGGAAGTTCTATATAACAAAGAACATGCCTTGTCTTGTCTTTGTTCATATTTTACTGGTAAGGACCTCTAAATCCTTAGTATTTCTTGAATGGTTTGTTACTCATGGTGGGTGCTGGGACCATACCCAAGTTTATGCAGTGAGATCACTCAGGATGGGGGCCTGATCACACTAGAATGACCAACTGCAGGATTAGAGGGTTGGGGCTTTGTATCAAAACTCGTTGGCCCAACCTCTGTGGGAGAAGGGAAGTGAAAGATTGAGTTAAATTATGTAGCCAATGATTCCATCATTTTCAGCTTTGTGATAAAACTGCAATTATAATATAGTGCCTTCCCAAGTTATGCAAGTTATTCTAACGAATATCAAACCAAGGGGTAGTGGGATCCCCAAATTTGTAGCCAGCTGGTCAGGGTCATGGGTGGCCTGGGAACCCTGGAGCTTACAGCTGGTGTCTGAGTGAGGGAAAGCTTGTGGAAGACCTGTTAAGTTCACACTAACTCCAGGTGGTTAATGCCAGGACTGCTTTGCAGGAGAGTAAGACACCTATTGCATGAAATATAAATTGTGATGGTGGCACCCCAGTTAAAAATAACCATTAGTAACAAACACCCATGCAACAGTGGTCTCTTTTAGTGAGAGCTATCCATATATTCCAGTCACTTCCATGTTACAGATAGAAAAATTTAAGTTGTATGAGTAGCTCAAAGCCATACATTCTATTACTATAAGTTGGGAAAAATATATAGAGAGAATCTGCCTTTGATTCAGATATTTTAGCCAATATGAACGATGTTTCTTTCTTTACACTGTTTTCAACTTAATTTACAAAAACACAACTACATCTTAGAGATACATACTTTGTATTTTGAGAGGAAATATCAAAATAATTACCTGCAATTCATCCCCTCCTGCTGGTGGCAGTAGTAAGACAAACATGTCAACCATGTCAGCAACAGCAAACTCTGACTGACCCACACCTGGAATTTAAATCACAACTATGTCCTAAAATATTCACAGTTATTACATTTTCTCAACCTCACTATCATTTCCATTCCACTTTATTCACTTACACTCACCCCTTTGAACAACCTCTTAGTCCATTTTCTGTTGCTGTAACAAAATATCTGAGACTGAAGTTTATTTGGCTCACAGTTCTGGAGGCTGGGAAGACCAAGAACACAAGCCAGCATCTGCTCGACATCTGGTGAAGGCCTCCTTGCTGTATCATAACATGGTGGAAAGCATCACATGGCTAAACAGAGCAAGCATGGTAGCTCAGGTCTCTCTTCTTAAAAAGCCACAAATACCATTATGAGGGGCCCCACCTCTAAATACCATTAACATAAAAATTGGGGGATTAAGTTTCTGACACATGATCTTTTGGGGGACACATTCAAGTCACAATACCCACCTCTGAAGAATTTATTAAATGCCACTATTTTACACTCTTAAGAAAACTGGTAGCCTTCCTAGCTCGCTCTCTCTCTTTTCCCCATTAGACCTATTCCTTGACTGAATGGAGATCCAAGGGACTTCCACTCTCTCCTAGTCTCAAAGCTCTTCTTGGCTTCTCTTTCTTCAGTGAGTAGCTGGAGCACTGTGACTCTAATCTTAAACCATGCCTGCCGATGTTTCCATCTTTTCCTTCATATTTCTACCCTGAAAACCTCCAATCACAGGTCAATCCAAATATGTGTACTGTTTCCTTTATAGGCATGCTTGAGAAGTCTCTGCACTGTGGATGGGTGCCACTACAGTGTTATGGTCTCCTGCATCTGCCACACCTTCCCTCACTGCCTAGTAAAGGCACTCCCCGTCAAGGCCCTGGGTCAGCCACCTTTCCCATTTCTCACAACAGTGATCTCCCACCATCTCCCCACCCGATCACTGTGGACTACTTCACAGAGGAATAAAGGGAGAACTCCCCCCACTTCTCTCTGTCCATCTCCACAGACAAATGATAAGATACAAACAGCCCTGCTGCCTGCCCTGCAGTCTGTGGAAGAAGTATTGAAGGGAACCTTCCTCTTCTTTGCCATGAGCCCCGCCTATGTCTACAGGCTCCAATTCCTTGACACACAATATGAGCTGTACTCAAGGTCTTCTCTCCTTGGAACCAAACAAAACCACATAAAATTGTTCCACTTCTCACCAAAGTTCTTACTTTCTCTTTGTAGTCAAGTTTCTGGGAAAAAAGCAATTCATGCTCACTGGCTCAACTTCACATTAATCTCAACCCACTGGAATCTGGCTTCCACATCTCCTGGGCCACTAAAACTCCTCTGGAAATTCCCTCCTTTCTGGTTGCCTATTTGATACCTATTCTTCCCTGTTTCCTCACCCCAGTGTTACTGGGAACATCAGTGTATCAGGTGAAAGGCCACATTCGTGAGGTCCCCTTTCACGGGAATGGGGCTGAGAGAAAGCAAAAGTCATGAGCTAGGGTTTCCAGGACGTTCATTAAAGAAGGCAATCCCACCTAGGAGGTGCACCTCTTCTGCCTACTCTTCCCTGACCCCTTACTCCTCCTTTCCCTTTCTTCTATCTGGAACATAGATGTAGCAGTCAGAGCTTCCTCAGACATCTTTTAACCATGAGCAACCTTGAGCATGAAGATGAAGTGAAGGGAGGACAGACAGACTGAAGCAGCCTGGGCTTGCTATCACTCACAATAAGCACCTATTCTGGACTGCTTATCCCCAGAATTCTTTTGTTTACAAGAAAATACTCTCTTATTTGAGTCACTGGGACAAATTATTTAAAGTCTCTAGGACAAGAAGTTAAATACAACTTTTAGGTAACATGCTTGGTTTTTATTCTACCTTCTCCTTCTAAGGCAGCTCTTCTTCCACCTAATCTCAACTGGTGGAGCTCCTTAAGCCCAGTCCTGGCTACTGCTAGGGACTGAATTGTCTGCCTCTACCCTTCTCGTTCTCATGTTGAAGCCTCAACCCTCGAGGTGACTGTATTTGAAGACTGGGCCTGCAAAAAAAGTAAATGAGGTCTTAAGGATGGAACACCTAATCCAACAGGACTACTGTCTCATAAGAAGAGGAAGAAACATCGGGGTAAGAGAAATGCTCATGGGAGGACACAGCAAGAAGGCAGCCATCTGCAAACCAAAAGAAGTTGCAGAAAAAAAGAATCCTGCCAGCACCTGGGTCCTGGACTTTCAGCCTCCAAAACAGTAAGGAAATAAATTTTGGTTGTTTAAGCCACCCAGTCTACAGTATTTTGTCATGGCAACGTCAGAAAACTAATATGGTTATCTTCCATTTTTGCCCCATAGTTTCCCCAGTTTACAGTCTGAAATATGAAACTCTGAACTATGCTAACTGCTAAATCCATCTTTCTTACTCAGTCTTTCTCAGGACACACAGTCACTTGTACACCTAATAAGCATCTTATACTTAATATACTCTCAACTGAACTTCTCATTTTCCCCTCTCCAAATCCCTCTTTTCACAGCATTCTTGATTATCTTCATTTCTCTTCCTTCCTCATCTCTTATACCTAATCATGGATAAAGCCCTGCCGATGTACACTAAAGCCTTTTTAATCCCTCTCCTATTCTCCATTCCCATTCCCCTGTTTGGTTCAGAGCCCTGCCATCTCTTTCTCTGATGAGTACAAGAGCCTCCTCACTGCATGCTGCCTCTGCCCTTCTAATCATTCCACACTCCGCTGCCAGCAATGTTTCCAAAATGCACATGTGGGTTTCTCCCCGTCCTGCTCACCCTGCATGGCTTCCCACTTCTTTCAGGGCAAACTCTAACCTCCTTGACATGGCACACAAAGCCCAGACAGTGAGCCCTGGCTCCAGCACTAACCCCCACACACCCCTTCACACTCTGTGCTGTCAGTACCCTAACTGAACTGCGCTTCTCTGAATGAGTCAAGCTTTCTCCCTCCTCAGTGTCTGCAAAGGCCCTTCACACACATTTTGTTTCACTCCTATTCTTTCTTCAAAACTGAGTCCAGCTGTCACCTCCTTTAGGAAGCCTTCACCGAGTTCCCTAAATCTGAGTGAGTTAGGTTGCCTCACAAACATTTAGGATGCAGTAATATAATAGATGGTCTCTCCACCATAACACGACTAATTGTCATTTCAGTGTCTTCACTGCATATAATTTTGTGCTACAGATATAAAATTAAATAAAACAACCCTCAAATCAAAAAATAGCTAACTGCATTACTTTTCTTAATAATACAGACAGATGAAATGCGCTTACACAAAACAGGCGTGGGGCTTCGCTTGCACAACTCATCCTAAGTCTATAGCTCTTCTCTGGCACACATGACATGCTGCCTCAGATAACAGTGATTAGCAGTGGCTCACTGTCACCCTCCGAATGGCAAGCTCTTTGAGGTTAGGAAGTGTAGCCTATGTACTCCTATTTCCTATAGAGTCTGGGGTAATATCTTGTACTTAATTACACCTTTAGTAAGTATCTGCTGAATGAACAAAATATAATTAGTTGTTATTCATCTTTATATGGCATTGGTTACAAGAGTATATTATCTTTCTGAAAGCATATCACACTCACCTACAGTTTCAATAAGGATGATGTCATACCCCCCTCCTTCACACAACAGGATAGCTTCATTTGTGGTTCTTGTCACACCTCCTAAAGTCCCTCTGGTAGGAGATGGCCTGATGTATGCATTCATATCTCTTGATAACTCTGTCATTCGGGTTTTATCCCCTAAGAGCGATCCTAGAACACATAATTACATTTTATAATCATGGAACAGTTCTAAGGTCCAATTATCAATCAGCCAGTTCCCAGGAGATGTGTCATATCTTAAGATATATTTCATATTATTGAGCTTACCTCTAACTCACTATATATAATCATGCATGATCCATTTTTTTAAACATTCCAATCCCTTTAAAACCTAAAAAGGCTTCCCACTGCCCCAAGCCAGATCCTTTGGCCTAGCACTGAAGGCCCTCAGAACCCAGCCATACCTTACCTGTCCAAATTTGGCTCCTACCAGTCTCAAACTTCCCTCTGATCCAGCTGGGTGGTTTCTTTATTGCCTTCTTAACATCTTCCTCCCCTCCTTTGCCTGTGCTCTCATGCCACAGACATCTCTTTTTTTCCTCAGTGCTAACTTACAAAGTGTCACAGCCAGGATCTGGGCTTTTCTAGAACCTTTTCACCCCAAGTCTACCTCTTGTGAGTTTCTCAGTACAACAGCGGCTCTGCAACCTGCCAGCATCCTGGAGAGCACCAGAGAACTTCACTGTCGCTCCCCTTCCCATTATTACCTAGAGCACCCACCACTCCTCGTTCTTTTATTTGTGTAAATGGCATTTTCTCTATGTAAATGAATCTTTATGCTGCCCTTCATCCTATGTGTGTTGTTTTAATTCTTTACCAGTTAGAAATTCTGAAGCCCAGACTGAATGCAAAGTAAGTCAAATGAATGGATGGAAAAGTATTCACACAAAATATTTTGGATTTCATATCTATGTCTTATCTCTTCCATATGGTGATTCTCACCAGGAGTAATTTTATGTCCCCTGCCCAGGACATTTGGTAATGTCTAGAGAAATATTTACTTGTCACAGTGTGGGTGGGATGCTACTGGCATCTACTGGATAAAGGCCAGGGATGTTGATAAACATCCTGCAGTTTAAAGGGCAGTCACCTACAACAAAGAATTGCCTGGCCTCAAATGGCACTAGTACCAAGGTTGAGAAATTATACTTTAGCAAAAATTCCCTGCTTATGAACCTTGTCTTATAGATATTGAACACTGAATGCTAAACAATGTGTTAACAGTCGGCACTCAATTTAAAACTTGTGGAATGGAACTAGTTAAAGTTTTTTAGTTTCTTGCAGTATTTTGGCAACATCAATACCTGTAAATTCTAGAAAAATAAAAGCTCTGGAACTACTATTACCTTTTCCTACTTTGCTTTAGCTATGTAAAATGTGAAGGTGTGGTGCTGTTTTAACCTGAATATTTATTTTCAATCTGCCTAAGGGCTATTTTTTCCACATACGTTGATACTAAAAATTAAGAAGATTAAAGATATGCTCTTTTCTCTTATGACTACAATTTAGAGTCTTCTCATAAGTCTGAATTCTAGAGCATACAGCTACCATGTGCCTCAACTACTTTATTTACTTCACATAAAACTTCTTCCTAAAGTAATTTTCTGCATGAAATCATCCCTGTGGAAGTCAACAATCTGCCAAAGTTTAAATTATTATCCTATAGATCCTATCACACTGAACTAAACATTATGAAATTATTCTCCCATGTAATTGTCTTTTGCAGTGAATCCAAAACTGTTAGTTGTAGACCCCCAGGGAGGTCTCAAAAGTATCACAGGGGGTCTGTGAGTTTAAAGCACCAAGACTAACTACAGACCAAAAATTGAATGCTTCTCAAACTTCAGTGCTATTTTTCAAATGTATGTGTTGTCATAAGAAGGTAGGAATTTACAGTTCTAGTGTCCTGTGTATCTTCATATTTTTTTTTCTTTCAAAGTCTTTATTTTTTTTTTTTTAATCTGAGAAAGGGGCTCTCCTTTTTGGTTTGAGAAAGGTGAAGAATCATACATTTAGCCCGCGACCCGCGCTGGCTTCATGAAAGAAGGTTTGAGTTGTGAGAAACTCTGCTAAGGAGTTTTAAATTAAAGAGACAAGTCTCTAATTACCTTTAACCAGCTCTTGGACGGCTCCTCCTAGCTCCAGCCTCAAGCCACCTATTGTGGTATTGAGATTTACTGAAGAGGTTAGCAAGATAGAGAGAACACACCAGGGAGTGGACTTTATTGGGGAACAAAAAATTCTGGGGAAAATCCCATCCAATGAAGATGAAGGGGGGCAGCATCCCAAGGTCAAGGGCAACAATTGGGTCTTCAAGGTAGTGGTCAGACACACCTCTGCACGGACAAGCCCTTGGACTTGGAGAAGGGTGGGGAAAGCTCTAACACAGCTATACCTAAACGCCTCTCACCCAGCCAGGGAGGTAACTCAAATCATGTGCGAGGATGGCCTCCCACACACATCCAGACAACTTCAGCACCGACTACTTTATAAAATTTCTGCTATCAATTGCAATCTCAAGCTATTATTTCCTCTTTCAACTGCAAACAGTCTAGGATATTAAGAAGGTGGAGGGGAAAAGGACTTCATACCTATATGAAAATGAGGAACACTTATTTAAAAAAAAATCACCAAGGTACTTACCTTTAACAAAGTTTAAATATAAATAAATTAGGCAATGCATTGACAGAGATTTAATCTTAACTTTCTAAGTATAAATTTTATCTACATTATTTATTTATTTATTTTGGTACTAAGGACTGTACTCAGGGGCACTTGACCAATGACCACGGAGCCACATCCTCAGCCCTATTTTGTATTTTATATACAGACAGGGTCTCACTGAGTTGCTTAGTGCCTCACCTTGCTGAGGCTGGCTTTGAACTTGTAAACCTCCTGCCTCAGCCTCCTGAGCTGCTGGGATTACAGGTGTGTGACACTACGGCTAGCTACAATTAACCTCTTTAATTATAGTGAATCAAAGACTTCTGAGCTAGATGTCTCAATGAGTGCTAAAAGGGATTGTTGCCCACCTCTCTAATAACTATGGCAATTGAAATAATATTCCATCTGCAGAACACCACAATATACACACCAAACACCTCCAAAAAGCCCCCTATATTCATTCTTTCACAACATACACTTGTGTTGATTCATCTTTTCAGAAACCTCCTAAGAATCACAGCTTCACAAGGCCAAGAGCACTGTATCTTATTCACCATTACACTGCACAGTACTTTCTTTACACAATTCCTTGCCTGTAGTAGGCATTCAAATACTGCTTAAGTGAATAATTGCAGTTGAGAAGCTTAAATCATAAATAGGGGTAAGGAAAGAAAGACCTTTCCTGAGTATTTACATGGCATGCTTTATGTTTTCTTTAACTGATCCTTTGAGAACTAAGTTTATATTCATTTTATCTCTGATGATCTGCAAATTAAACTGTGAAAGATTGTATGACCTTAAATCAGTAAGTAATTGCTGAACCCTGTACCGTGCACAAGATACAATACTAAGTGCTATAGGGGGAACAGCAATATATTACATGATCCCTCTAAGAGCTTTCTGTTTAACTAGACGTATAAACAGGTGACAAGTCATAAACAGCAGTAAATTTCTTTTTCTTTTTTTTTAAGCTTAAGATAAGTTACAACAATAGGAAAATAACAGATGGGTAAGAACCATTTTCTACATAGCCACTGATGCAGTCTGCATAAACAATAGAAGATAAGGGTCTAGCCTTAGGCATGACTGCCAAGGGCTAAAATTTGTTTTTGATCATCTTCAACTTCTGGCACCTGTAATGCTGGTTCTCGAAGTGCCACTGTGCTACCCACAAGCTGACCTTCTCTGCGCAGTCCAATGCTCCCCAACCACTTCCCTCAGCTTCTACCCACTCTGCAGAGGCCCCTTCCCTCAGTGAGACCAAACTCAGCTACAGGTATAGGTCACTTGATCATGGAAAAAAAAACCAAAAAAGCTCTACGACCCCAAAAACCCAGCTGTACTCACCACCACTAGTGCAGGAAGAAGGGTCCACAGCTAGCACTGATAATCGGTGCCCTCGCTCAGTAAGCATTTTTCCAAAATATTCTATAAATGTTGATTTTCCAGCACCAGGGGGTCCAGACAATCCTATAGTGAAAAGAGATCTTCTAATTTACTAGATAAATGAAATCAGCACCATGTTCAGTTTACTGAATAAAACATTAAACTATCTTATATTATTAAAATTATCATTAATATATATTTAAACATGTCCTAAAGCAAAAAATAAAAATCTATCTTTTATCTAATCCCCAAATAATGAGGGTATATAGGAACAATTCTGAGTTCCATGTGTTTATATATTCACTTTTTAAAAATACAAAACATGCTTGCCTTTTTACTACAATGTAGATTTTTTGAGACACACTTCAGTGCCTATATTTTAATGTGCTGAATTTCTATATCTGCCCAGGTCTCATCATGACTGGCAATTATTCCACCTGCCCCAATTCTGTCTATTTTCTCTGCCCATTGGAAAAACAACCCATTACTCTAGAAATTTCTAGTGATTGAGAAAGTAATTTTCTATTCACAAAGGATCATTCTTCATCTCACTTGTAACTCAAAGAATATCATAAACAGAGTCCTGAAAAAAATAATTTGTGTTAAGAGAGAGAGAAAAGCTCCCTCCTCCAAGAGCTAGTCAAGCATGGTGGATAAGAAGGCAACCCCCAGAGCCAATCAGCAGGTTCTCACTCTAGTTGTGCCTCTTAGGAGATGCAGAGATCAATGCTCTCCAAGTTACTTTCCCTCTGTGTGCTTCAATAATAAAATAGATAGTGTAATAGTACCTATCTCTTCAGGCTGTTTTAAGAAGCAGATCAGTTAACATTTTCAATATGTTTGAAACAGTGTGTGGCACACAAGACAAACATGTTTTGTCTAATGAGTATATACAACCCAGGTGTTTAACTGTATTCAAAACTATGTATAGTGTATGACATGCTTTGCTTTCAATACAATTCTCAGGGCAGCTTCCTATCTTCAAAACCTTTACAGATGCTGAATAAATACCTGCTGCTTTTATTTGTGATGATGATAAAATGACTACAACAAAGACAGGCATTTATCTGGCCTAAAAAGATTAGGATGGAAGAATCAGAATACCACTTCAAAGTTATGTATGAATTGCTATCACTTCAAAGTTATATACGAATTGCTAAGTTAATTCTAGATATTTCTGAACCATTTTCTCTGCAAGGATTCTTTAAAACATAGTAAGGTGTACTTCACCATAACTAGAGTTTCTCTTGGTGAATTTGCTATTTTTCCTGTCTACAACAAAAAGATTAGTAACACTCAATGGAGTACTCTCCCAATGAGAGTCCCTCGATGAGGGCAGAAGAAATAACCATGTAAAATATGTGGGCTGGTTCAATACTGGTTGGTGCGCTATTTTTGCAATTATCTTTTTGATATCTATTAATATAAAAACTAGGTTTGAGTCCCTATATTGCCAATAAACTATGCTATAAACGTCTATGGTAATGTCAACTTTTACATGTATTTACTAACTCTTCCAAAATTCTCTATATTTTGGCCACACTTCAAGTGGTTTTTTGCAGAAAGGTTAGATCAAATCACTGAGTTCCCTATCAAGGGACACTCTCTACTCAAACTGCCTTACTTAATTCCTGCTAGTCAAATATATCTAAATTTCCAAAATATAAGAAGCTGACTCACAATTACAGAACTAAGTTAAATTGCCCAAAATAATCAAAGGATTATTTAAATGTAGAAAGCAAGTGAATATGGTTTCTCCTTTAAAACACATTTTAATATTGAGATGGCTGGATGGTGAGTTTCGGGGGAAACTCAACAGAAAGTATTGGAAGCAGTGGAACTTACCTGTAGAAAAACTAACAAAGAATATCAGAGGGACGCTGGTGTTGTGGCTCAGCGATAGAGCACTTGCCTGGTGCGTGCAAGGCCCTGGGTTGGATTCTCAGCACCACATAAAAATAAATAAATAAAAATAAAGGCATTGTGTACAATTAAAAGAAATAAATATTTTAAAAGTAATAGTAATAGAGGGCTGGGACTGTGGCTTAGTGGTAGAGCGGTCTCCTAGCATGTGTGAGGCCCTGGGTTCAAACCTCAGCACCACATAAAAATAAATAAATAAAATAAAAAAGATATTGTGTCCAACTAAAAAATAAATATTTTTTTAAAAAAGAATAATAGAATAAAAGAAGCAGAAATGTGATGAGGATAATTATAGTTGATATACCACAAAAAAAAAATCCACTTTAGACTACTAAATAAGAAGGACTACTGAAAGCAAAGAGTACAATGGTTACTAGTTCTTCCTATACATGTTTATCTTCTGGAAGTCACATAAAAATTCTTACCCAAAGAGAAATCCTATATTATTATATCAAAATACAGACCCTTGGTTTAAAGGATCATGGCGAAATTTCAATATATCAAGATTAATACTTGCAAAAGAAAACAAGGTATTTAAAAGTCATCCAACAGGAAAAAGAATAATCTCATTAGATTACAAACATTTTAAAGGAATTTAGAAAATATTTACTGAACAAAAAATAAAAGACTGACCTACTCTAAATGCTAGTGGTTTTCCTCCATTTAATTGTTCTTGTTCTCGGTGGTAGATTAATACTTTCTGAAGAAGCACCTGGGCTAACTCCTTTTTCCTGCTGTGAGTCGATTCTACAAGAGTTATGGCCTCTGCTAAACAGGCCCTTTGCCCCTGGATTAAGCCAGTATAAAGTTTATCCACAAATCTTTGTTCTTTATCAGAAAGTCCTTCCATGTGGTCCTTTAAGGTTGCTTGTACACATAATTTCCTCCTTAAGCCATTTGACAACAGCATCCACTTTGTACAATGGAGTCCAAGCGACTTAAATGGCTGAGCACACGGGATTCCTGACAGGAGATGAGCACTTGAGTGAAAGGTGAAGTGGTAACCAGGGACAGGTGTCCTTAACAGGCCTTTTAGGAAATGCTGGTGAGGATGCAGTAGGAGCGCGGGAAGATTCATTTTGTTTGTAACTGAAGAAAATCCCGGATGCTTTTTGACTCAATTGATTTGTGACCTCCCTAGAAGAAAGAGAAACATATTTTGCCAGTTTATACAGACAACTAAGATATGGAGGTAGTAAAAGTGAAAGTAGAGTGCTTTTCCCACATTCTAAAACACACAAAATTAGCACTCTTGGCTGTATACATGGCTGAGTTTTCTTACTAAATTTAAGAGAGAAGACTTCCCCCTTGGTCACAGTTAATATTCAGAGTAATCCAAATCATGAAACTATTACTCTATTGTGAGGTGGAATTTACATTAAAATGTCCTTTTAAACAAAAACCAAAATATACCAAACCTCATTAGGGTAGACATTTTCTGTCACACTTTTTCTCACATTCGTCTTCACACTTTCCTCAGGTCAACATACCCAATTCTGAAGCTCATACAAAAGATTCTTTAAAAAGAATGTCTCTGAAGCTAGCCTTTTATTCATTCTCTACAAAAGAAATGTGATTAGTGGTGTGGCACCAGAGGCACAAGTTTAGACCCCTGTGTATCCTCAATAGACTCACCCGAATAACCTGGCTTAAGCACAAAATCAACAACAATAAGCCTTAATTCGAGTGAACTGTGTGGGTTTGTGTAGTAACAAATGAGTGCATCTTAAAGGATGGTCAGAAAACCAGGTACTTTCTAAAAATGCACATTCCCAGCCCCACTACTCAGAAGCTCTGTAGCTAAGCACACTGAAGTAGAACCGCTCAGGAATTGGATGAAGAGCCTTAGATTGAGTGATATTCCCAACATAGTTTTATATTACATTAGGCAATGAAAGCTGGCAACAGTACACTGAATCAGGACAGGGTAGGGGATATGAGCCATGGCCATTCAGTTGCTGCTACTTTGCTATCATGACCTGGGGCTAGTTACTTAACCACTCTGCACTTAATGTTCTGGAGTTAGGAGAGCAGAGTGGTTAAGAGAACAAAATGACTTATTTCATGTAAAAAGCCTGGAGCAGTGCCTAGCACAGAGTAGGAGCTCAATTAACATTAGTTTTTATTGTTAGTATATGAATTTGTAAGACAATAGTAATAATTAGGTCACAGTCCTAAACTTCCAGTGACATACTAAGATTTTGGAGGGACCAGGGATTGAACTCAGGGGCACTCAATCACTGAGCCACATCCCCAGTCCTATTTTTTTTTTTTTTTTAAATATTTATTCTGGATGTTTTTCTTTATTACATACCTTTTTTTTTTTTTGATGCTGAGAATAGAACCCAGGGGCTTGTGCATGCAAGACAAGCACTCTACCACCTGAGCTATAGCCCCAGCACCCCCAGCCCTATTTTGTATCTTATTTAGAGACAAGGTCTCAGTGAGTTGCTTAGTGACTCGATGTTGCTGAGGCTGGCTTTGAACTCATGATCTTCCTGTCTCAGCCTCCAGAGCAGCTGGGATTACAGATGTGCGCCACCACATCTGGCTCAAACTAAGATTTATAGGTACATATGTCCTATGCAATTTGGGTTCATAATTATTTGGAAATTTTGGTTTTTCTGGGTCTCATGGCTCATTGAAATTATTTTATTGATCCAAGGTACTTCTCCAAATAGCACTTCAAAGCCAATGAATATAAAATTAATTTTAGTTAATAAACATGCTATTCAGGACAAAGAAGTAGTTTAAGATTTTTTTAACCTGTAGAAACTATAACTGTTCATAAATTTTCCAAAAGCAACAATTTTTTTCAAATTGAGGGGGGGCATTATAACATTTATTTACACAAATTTATTTTAAAAAGAATAATTTATTTAAAATGTATAAAATTATTTCTAAAAAAAGTTTTTAAAACATCTATCGACGAGTAGCCTTCAAACAAGCACACAAAAAGACACTTAAAAGTATCTAAGAGGGGATCTATTGTGGAAGGTGTCATTAAACAACATCTTTCAGCTCAATTCACATCCTCACCACCAACACCACCACTAGCCTGGACACTCACAGGCAAGAACTGGATTTTTATTCAACCCCTACTTTCCAAGCACATACTACTTTCCAGACTGTAATATATCAGGGATGGATCTGAAAGAATAAAAGAGCTGATGAAGGAAGAAGACAGCTTTCTAGAATGAGGACTTGGCCTCTTACCTGCCATATTAGAGAAGACTGAAAAATTCAGTGATGACAGAATACCAGTATAAGGAACTAGTGATGGGAGATATGTCTGGATCAGTATGTAAACTTTAGGGGCCAAGAAGCTAGCTTTTGGATCTTGGCAGAGGACAAACAACAGAGACCTTTATGGAGGTGACACCACTGACTTTGCTCCTTTAGGAGATAAGTCTAGAAACAGTGGTGAAAGGTCAAGAGTGATGAGACCCTGGTAACGAGTCCAGTTTAGAAACCCTAGCACAGGACCCTTAGCACAGGAGCAAAGGAGATGATGAGGACCTGGACTTCAGCAGGGCAGTAAGCACATTCAAACAAGATAAGCCACATTCAAGACCTGCATGTCCCCGTTAGAATCCTCAAAGCTTGACATGAAGCCTGGCTCTCTTCACTTGCTAAGGGGGGGCGGGGGGAGAGCTGTTGCTGATCTGATCAGAGTTTATTTTATTACCCACTTACCTGCAACTTTAGAGCTTATAAACCACTTTCAAATACTTTATTTCACCCTATACACCAATCCCATATGGACAGTGTGACAGTTATTAATCTTGTTTAACAGAAAGGGAAACCAAGTATGAGTTAAACAACCATAGTCACAATCAGAGACAGGAGGGCCAGGACTCAAATCCATACCTTTGACTCTCTATGGAATTTCTTCTTAATAAATTATGATAGAACAAAAGAGAAATCCTTTGGCTAAAAGGGAAATAGATATCAGTTAACTTTACCCACTTTCCTAAGTGAATAGGGGGATGGGGCACAAGACCAGAAACAGGAAGACCAGCTGGAGAATTGCACTAGAAGGTAGATGAGAGGAATGGCCTGGACGAGGTTGAGGTAGTGTTAAGACAGATTCCAGACGAATTATGAAAGAACTGCTAATGTGGGTAGGAACCTGAACAGTCAAAGACAAGGCAGAGGTTCTTACCTGAGCCATAGAAAGAAAGATGGGGTTGGGTGTAGTGGCACATGCCTGCAATCCCTAGGCTCAGGAGGATGAGGCAGGAAAATCTCAGTTCAAAGTTAGCCTCAGCAGTTTAGGGAGGCTCTAAGCAACTTAGCGAGACCTTATCTCTAAATAATAATTTAAAAAATACAAAAAAGATCTGGGGATGTGGCTCAACGGTTAAGTGACCCTGGGTTCAATCCCTGGTACCAAAATAAATAATAAAAATAAATTAAAAAAAAAAAAGACAAAGTTGTCCTTCAGTGAGCTAGGGAATAGTGTCAGAAGTAAGGTTTAAAGTGCAAACAAGAGTTTAGTTTCCAACACATTAAATTTAAGAGGCCCATTATTAAACATTACACTATGTATACTTGCATCAGAACATCACATGGTCCCCTACTAATATGTACAATTTTAATGTACTCATTAAAAATAAATTTAATCAAAAACAAAACAGACCTACTGCTAGGAGCCACAGCAAAGTATTATGATGCATGGCACCTTTGGTTAAGGTGATGCCAGCTAGCCATTGAGATGATATGATTATGTTAAGATTTACATTCATATGGAAATTGGACTCCTGCTGTTCACCTTGGCCTGCTATGGAATGGGACTCCTGGAGAGTTCCCATTGGTTGGGGAAGGATAGTAGGAGGGTTTTCCGGGGGAGGTCCGGGAGACACAACCGCGTGGGTGGACCGGTTTGCTGGCCTGACACCTACAGGGTATTGGCAGCATTTTCAAAAATAAAGTTTTGTTCCTGCTTGAGTGGCTTGTGATTCTGTGCCCAGCCGGGTTGCGGCAACCTACTAGATATCCAAGTAGGATATGGAGTGAGCAGCAGCATTTATCGGTCTGAAGTTCCAGGAAGAGGTCAGAGCTGTGGCGTAAATTTGGGAATTATTGTTTAGCTGACCAAATAAATTCACCAACTAAGGGATTGGATAGAGGATGTGTGACACCATTTTTTGATAAAACTTTACACACACATGCAGGAGGAATACATGTGTTGAAGTGCATGTAAACTCACCTATAGATAAGTAGTCTTGAGGTGTTTCCATATTGTTTTGGGCATACTGATTTTTTTCAAGGCAGCCTATTATTATGGTGGTAGACAGAAGAATGCCCACCCAAGGATGCCCATGTCTGAATTCCTGGAACCTATGAACATGCTATATCACATAGCAAAGGGGAATTGAAGTCTGCAGATGGAATTCAGATTGCTAATCAGCTGACTCAGATACATAGATTAGTCTAGTTTATCCCAGAGGATCACTGCAATCACCAGGGTCCTTACAAATGGAAGCCGGGAGGCAGAAAAGAGCAGTACAATATCATGTGAGGACTCCACCCACCTCCACTGGTCTAAGGGAGTAAAAGGGCTAACCTGTAGAAGAGAGAAAAACCCAGGAAGCTGATTTTCCTTGAGATCCTCCAGGACAGAATGAAGTATTATTGGTAGCTTGATTTTAGCCCAGTGATACCCATGTCAGACTTGATCAAGACAACTGTAAGATAATAATTTTGTGTTGTTTTACACCACCAAGTTTGTGGTAATTTGTTACAGCAGCAACAGAAAACTAACACAGTTGCTAAGGTAACCAAAAATATTTAAAATAAAATTCAGAATTTTTATGAGAAATATCTAATAACTACTCATGATTTAATTATCTGTCATAACTTGTACATTATTTCCTTTTTCATTTGGATTTCTTCCAAACATGAGAAGTAAACTTGATGAATCCTTAATTTTATCATTTATTGTGACTATCAGTGTTATATCCAATACATTCATATGTCAATTTCTAAATTAGACATAAAATTAGCATATGTTCTAGAAAAATCAGTAAACTGAATTATGTGTAAGGTGAAAAAGTGATGTTTTAGCTATGGTACTGCAAAGCTTTTATCAGATTCATCACATAAAGATTAGAAGTTCAAAAGTACTCCAAAAC